GCCGGTATTGGCGTGATTTCGCGCCATTAATCTTCCCCTCGACAATTAACCGACCGCAGGCCTAAGGCAATGCCCGGCTATTAATTACAATCAACGCTATCGCTCGCACCGGAACGATACGACGTTTAATATCGAGGACGCGGAATTCGTGCGCTGACTGAATTCATATCGAACCTACCTTTGGAACTTTTATAATCTAATCCTTATCGAACCTACCTTTGGAACTTTTACTCTTCGCTGATAAAATTACCGCTGGTAACTCGCGAACTGCGGTCATCGATCGACTTCTATTGATCAAGACCAACGTGCTTATCGTTCGAGGACGAATCTAGAGGAAATAGTATTCACGGGAATTCGATGCACCGACATCCTCTGTGATTCCACAAGATTTCCTGTTCGTCCTGTGGTTCCAAACGCATCGATGGTCAAAGTAGATCGGAGTATGCGGTTCCTCTCGCGCGCCAAAGATGGCGCGATCAGGACGAATTTTTTCTGAAGATTAACGCTGGAATTTATGAATCTCTTATTCCTTATTACTGTCTCTCTCCCTCTGTTTGTTTTATAGATGTTAAATTATTCTAATCTGTCTTTGTAAATTTATTCTTGTATCTAGAAATTGTATTTTTCGAAAGATTACATGGGTGCATCAAAGTTTTCTTTATTTCTGTTCGGAAATCAAAGTCATTGAACAGTCAAGTCCACGAGACTGAAGATCAGAAAAAAACGGAACTTTGAAAAATACAAGGATGATCTTCCACTTAAGTAAGTTCAGTCTTTAGATCATCTTTCGGGAGACACAACCGTGATATTAAAGAGTTACTTAAAAGATTTGTCGCACGACGCGCACACCGGTTCAATTATTATGAATTACGACTCCCGTTCTGTAGGTCTGGGCACCATATATTTGATTTAACGGGGTAAGAAATGCAACGAGAATTATAGCAAGAACCCGAAGAAAGTGATTAATCTTATCCCAATTTCTACCTGCGGTTATCTTCGAAAGATTCTACTTCACTTAAAACGACAACTATTTCGGAGTCCAGGCGCGTCTGTTCGTTAAACCTCAATGGGCAGGGCCTACTATTTTTTGAACGAATTTCTTTTATTACTTATTATTTATGTCTCTTACATGTTATAGAAATATAGTATTTTTCTTCTAATTCTGTGAAAATTGAATTGATCTACGAGTTGTTCCCAATAATTAATCACAACGATGACAATAATATTTTCTACAACTGTAATCTTTCGATATACGGTAGAATACAGAACTCAGTGTAGCGATAGCAAAAGTTTCTCGCGATTATCTCGGAAACTAAAGACATCCGTTAACATTATATAAAGGAAAAACTTGTTTAAAATCATCTCCCTGACAACACATTTCGAAATCGTCAAAATCGGAGCGAGCTAAGCACATCGAGAACTTGACCAAATAAATGATTAGTAATACAGTCATCGACCGCAATCTATATAACACTAATACTCCCAGCAGATGCAACGACCGAAATCCCCAAGAGCCCGAACACAAAGTCACCCCCCGTATTCGAATATCGCTACCGAAAATGATCACGTCATAAAACAGCAGTATAATCAAGCGAACCTGTCCCTGGCCGAACGCAAAAATTGCAGTTCGCTAAAGGGATTAAATTAACATCATGTATATACAACTTAATCCAGCCGGGTCCCCAATTCACATTCATTTCCACTACAAGCGAACGTGCTCCCGGGCCTAGTATACATAACGAGGACCGAATCCCCGATTCCTTTTTCCTCCTATCTACTTTTTTGCTCCCCCTTCCCTAGGCCCGGTTCCTTCTTTTTGGGGGATTAATCACGCGGCGTAGAATCCTCCGTGGCTGCCGAACTGAGCGGGCCCAATCGCGGCCGATTGATTCACGGCCGGCACCGTTCGGCCCGGGAACCAGGAAGGATAAGGTAGAAAGTGCCGAAAGAAAAGAGAAAGAGACACATGGAATCGTGGCATCGCGAAGGGGAGCACAAGTTCCTTCGCTAATGCACGCGGATGGCCGGAGTGAGTGAGACAGAGGCGCAGGGGGGACGGCGGTCGGGTTCGTTGATTAGCGGATATCTTAATTACTGATTGGCCGTGCGGACTAATTAAATCGTAACTCAATCAGGACCCCACCCCTCGGCGTACCGCTGCGATTTTACGACGACGCTCCGAGTGGTTTAGGATCTCGCATACATACGTGTCCTGGGGTTGTTGCATAAACGATTCTAACGCATCGGATATTGCACCGGGGACCGTTCCGTCGGGCCAGACCCCTCTCCACGGTTCGGCTTCATCCTTTTTACTCCTACACGGGTTACTTTTTCTTCGGGCCACTGCGTCCCGGCTGGACCCGAGCTGCTCGGACCGACCAGCCGCGCATTATGTCGGGACGGAATAAAAAAGTATAGTAATTAGTAGTACCTACCACGGTGTCCCGCAGGTGAACGATGTCGGCGGGATCTTCCCACTTTCCGACCAGCCTCGATCGGCTGCGAATTTTCCAGCCCCGGATCAATCGAGGAATTCATTTTCACCGGTTCGCTTCGATTCCGAGGACTTCTTTATCTGCTGTCTCAGTTCCGTGTTAATTAGTGATCTGCGTGGCTGTAGTCGGAAGTGAATTACAAGTTCGGGTTAGTAACATTGATATTACGAGCTATGCAAGTTAGGAATTCTAATGTTCGCGAAACGGATGAATTTCACGGATTCTTCCAATCTGTCGCGCTGACTAGACGGTGTCGCGGTTGTTTATGAGTTCTATTAAGTCATGTAAATCACGATTTAATGTACCATGGAAAGATGGAATTTCGTTTCGTAAGTGTTTCATCGAAAATAAGATCGGATGTAGGAATATCAACCGAGCTTTATTCCGAGTCTATTTTTCTTCCCCGTGAGTGATTATGGAAACGAACCCGTGCAAAAGGGTCGTGCCGGAAGGCTGGCGATCGGATGATGTTTTAATTTGCCGGACGTTTTGAAAGTCAAATGCGCACGGCCGCTTTATGTCAGGGTGAACGTCGACGGGCAGAATTATGTCATTAGATCCATAATCGGCCGGCGCGGTATAAATTATGCACTCGGGACGCGTCATCGAGATAATACAGAAAAATGGCTTCACCTCGGAAGCCGTGGCCACGAGAGATGAAGACGTTGCCGTGCTCCCCGTCGTTATTGGTGTGGCTTCCAGCCGCAGGAAAGCCCGTTCGCGGCGTACGCATCTCCTTCGCTCTTTTCGCTCTCTCATTCTCGTAACGCACATTCGTTAGCATGGATAATGAATCACCGGCGTGTCCTCGTGCTCCTGTCGCGAGTACCGACGAAGAATTCGCCGGTGGGTCGGCGACGACATCGTGCGCCGCGTCTACAGAAATCCTCCTGCTACGGCCCTGGCCGTTTCGAATACGAATCGAGAAAGAGAAAAAGAGGGACGTAGCTGGAACCATTAAAAGCAGCAGGTACCAGCTCGCCACTCGGTCCCATCGTCTCCCTTCATCTTTCCACCCCTTTCTCTCTGTCTTAAGCGCATTCTTTCTAACAGATTTTCGGCACCGTCCGCCTCGATGAAGTTTTGACTCCGTAATTGTCGTAATGAATCACCGCCGATTATTTCCTGCCCCGTGTATCCGCAAAAACCGGGCCCCTACCACGGGGCCCACCGAATAAATTCCCCCCGCGATTTACATAGCACTGGAACGTCGTCGAATCGTTATTGCACTTTGCAGAATGGAATGCAATTTGTTACACCGTCGGCGAGGTGTTTTATTGAGCGGAAGGTGTACGATCGAGGATTTAAGGATTGGATTCATTTGCGTTCCCTACCGTCACTTAATTGTTCCATTTGTATTCTCATTAACGAGCACCGTAGTTTTATTCTCACTCCGCAGAATTACTGGCAAGACCAACGATCCTTCTTTCTTTTCGATTTGAATTTACCTAAATCATCTAATTTTTCCATGAACATTGAAGTTAGGCCGTCTCCAAACGAATGGCCTGTCTAGTAATATTCTAGAAGCTTAATTTTATTTACATTTCCTCCGCGTCCCTTCTCCTACTACAAATAACGCGCCACTTATGCTATAATTTGACGCCACATGCGAGACCTCCTCGAAGAAGCCGTCGCAGCATGACAAAGAACCATTGACGGTAGCGTCGAAAGCGTCCGCGCTTAAACCTCTTAATTAATGCGCGGTCTGACAGAGACAGAACGCCGGTATCGGCGAGCCGCGAATTTCATAACAAATTGGTGTATCGTTGACGGTCGCGGCCTCGAAACTGGCGTTCTTTCTGTTTATAATAGCGATCGTTTCATCATCCGGATCGCCTCCGGCGGGACGTTTAACCGGCTGTTATACCGACCAATTAATTACGGCTGGTCTGCATTAATCTCGGCAAATTGGCCGAAATCGTCGAACCGCCGCGGCTGGATTTATAGCGCTATCCTATTCGTCGGCTCGCGCCGCACCGGTCGGAAAGGGTTCGATTTGTAAAACATACGCGCGTACCCCGTGACCCACGACCGACGATTCCGTAGCGGAAATCCAACGCGGCCGCGGTGGTTTCCGCGAAGTCCCTTAACTGATGCGAACGAGCACATAAAGCGATTCGCGATATCATCCGTGAGTCGCTTTCGCTTTGCGCTCTGCGTCCCGGCATCTTTCTTCTTGCGCCGGCTTTCGCGTCACGAAACACGAGATCGCGCCCTCCGTCCGTGAAACGTTTATAATTTTGGGAATTTTATTACCCGACGGGAATATATAATTGAGAGGAATATTTCTGGAATTTTTCGTTTCTCTGTACTATAATCTCGGCTCAGCCGTAACAAAAAATTAATGATGGGGCAGGAGTGATATGTTTATTACAGTTTTGTTGTTCTCTTCTCAAACGTCAAAAGAAATACAATGAAACGAGAAAGGTTGTACGGTTATGGTAGTGTCGTGGAGGTCGGAAAGCGATTAAGATGGAAATAAAGAGCGCAGCGGTTATAGTGTTATTATTGTAGGGCTTGGAGGATCGGCCTCTGCGCCTCGTAGATCGCCCGACAAGATGTCTCCGTGAGTTCCTGTTCCTCGGCCGTGTAGGGATGACGTAGAAACGATTGTATACCGTTTCTACCTACTATGCAGGGCAAGGACATGTACACGTCCTTTTCTAAACCGTGCCGACAACCCTGCAAGAAGACAGACATTGGGGCACAAACTTCGTACACGTGTAGAGGGTTGTTCGGATATATAAGAGCGGTGCTTTATCAAAGGATGTTAACATTAACACCTGTACACGTTAAATGTGTTCCAGTCTGTTAAGAGTTCTATTAACCCATCGCGGTTCAGTGATTTTATTGGAGTGCTGGTAGGCAGGTCCAAGTTAATTTATAGGACAAAATAAGTTAATTTGAATAAATGAAAAAAATACAACTGTAATGAATTCATTTATTTGCTCATGAAAAAAAATTATAATTTAAAGTTAGTTAACATATGGTATCTTTTAAAACAATTTCCTACGTGAATTGCAATTGCAAGAACCATTATAAGTATGCCAATGGAATATGCCCAGTGGTACTGGACAGTGGACCGCGAAGGGTTAAGCTCTGTAAACACGGTTAATTCTGATCTTTCCCAGAATCCTATGGTAAAACATTAATTTTTCACAATATAATAACTTTTACCCTATAGTATTATAATTACTGTTACTATAATAATTATTAAAATGGCTACCTTCAGATAAGCGGACACAGTAATGGAAATACACGTGTTCCGAACAACCGCGTCCACGACTTCGGCGGCGCAGACGCCAATGCCCCAACTGCGATAACCCTTCCTGGCGATAAGATCGCTGTCGGAATCGATAACTTTGGCATGAAGATCCCCCCAAGATTCAGGATCCGCTGCGCTGCCGATGTCATTGTTGATGTCCTTCAGCTTAATCCCCATTACCGACACCGCGGACCAAACTGGCACTGCCGATCGAGCACGCGGTCAAAATTCCGGAATACACGGCGAACGGTAAAATCGTTATCGCTCGTTCAATACCAGACGTTGGTCCATTTTCACAAATGACCGAGGCTTGTACCGCGCTCGCCGAAATTCCAAGCTTCTGCGCGATGAAGTACTGAAGCCTGCAGCTGTCCAAAAATGTCCCCAAGCCGATCACTCGTTGCGGAGGGAAACCTGAAAGCTTCATCGCCGCGTACGACAATATATCCACTGGAATGTGACGTTCCGTCGTTATTCTGGCGCGTGTTCATCGATGCCGAAGCTAAATCTGTGTGTAATTAATACCGGGCGTAGTCACGATCAACAGCACACTGTTCGGCGCGAACTTGCAAACGTTCGGTATAATCTCCTTGAAGATTTCGAAATTTCGCTCCAGCGGCGAGGCTTCTTCGGGCTCGTTGGTGTTTTTATCGCCTATTGTGAATACGCACACCGTCGCGTCCCTCGCCATGGAATAATCTAAGAACGACAGGATTAAAAAGCGACTCTCATCGTAAAATTCTCGAAGAATGTCAGCGTCCAGAGATTCGAAAGATAAAACGTTGAAAATTTCATTTCTCGCGTCCCGGATTTTTCAGAAGTGCCCCGTATAAAAGTTCACCGTCCGCTAACGAAGAGTTAGGTAGTTTATGAGACAATAAATACACTGATGCGCGAACGATATCGAGATTGGAGATTTATAGTCACCTTTCGTGCCAGTAATCCTTGGATTACCGAGGAACGCAGCAGCGTGGCTGATGTCTTCCGCTTCTGCTTTCGCTAAGTCTTCGTTTAGGTCTATGAACACCAGCTCGGACGCGAGGCGCTGTAGAAATCCGACGGGGGCAAGAGAAATGACGATTATAAAGGGTAATTAACGGGAAGCGTCCGCTGGCTCGGGGCCCGGAGTTATTACGCACTCGGAATCGTTACGCAATCAAGACCCCCAGGAATCGCATTAAGAATCTACGTGCGCGCAATCGATCGCGCTGTTCGAGCGATCCCTTAATGCGAAGGGTCGTTAGGATTTGATCGCCTCCGTTCGCGCAAGAGGCGGCTTTACGTGCCCTCGTTGCTGAGTAGATTAAAAAAGGAACTTCGATTTTTCAAGCGTTTCAGGTTTAATTTAGTAAAGTGCTTTGAGCTGCTTCCTCCTTGATGAGAACGGTATTGAAGTTTTCAAAGCATTCGGAATGTGCTGGCACATTAGTGCTATACATATACTGAGATTCAGGAAGTAAAGGTTCAACCGATATATTGGCGTTATGGGATTTTTCGTTGCAAATTTTAATAAGTTGATCATTAAATTACACAGCATATATTAATCTTTAACGGACCAATGCCATATAAGCGGCATAGCAGTTTTACTTACTACGTCCAATGCTATATATAGCGGCGAAAATCATTTTATCATTTTTATCGCCGTTATTGTTATAATATTTACAAATAACAAGTATTGCGCTAAGTCACTTCTGCGAGTTTCTTCCGCTTGTTACCTGTATTACAGTACTTTCCGGCGGTAAGTAAACTTGATACTTTCGGTACGTTAAAAGTTAATATTTAAAATACCAATAACAACGTTCTGCTAAGTACCACTGACTTACTGCAGGAAACGATATAAAATGAACTCCAGCGGAAACTACTACACTGACACACGATTTTCATCCACTTCGGTGATGTAAAATGTGTACCATCAAAATTCCCTAGTCAACGTCGTAACACGCTTTTAACGATCCCCCTGTCGTCGGTATCTTCTCCCATCATCGGGAATCCATCATATTCCCTCTTGATCCTTCTACCATCCTGGCTGACACAGATTCCAGTAGATTCTCAGGCCAGCGATCGCTCATAATCACAGTCTAATTAGACCCGTGAAAAATAATAGGGTATCCTTTCTCCACGGCCACGTGGGGCGACGCACGCACGCACGCGGCCGTTGTGAATAGCTCCGTGGTGCACGCTTCTTCACTTTCGCTTCCGCGCGAGCAGATGGACACATTTTTCTCTGACAGATGGTGCTTTCACACGTTAAGACAAACCAGCGGCTACCTAACAGAAACGGCTTCTTAATATATTACGTTACGCCCTTGTGCTTCCAATCTGTTATTGTACACCGCTTAATCACCATACTTCATCAAGCATGACTTCCGCAGCATGCATAATATCCCAGCTGATGAAGTTTCTTAGCAGCCCCTTGCCTGTTCGCCCGTTTCTGCTCCGCTCTTCCTCTCTCACTGTATCCTTTTTTCCTCCTGCCTCTGCTGCTCGCGTACCCCGCGACGATATTGAGCAGTAATTAACTCGCAAACTCTCCCGGTGTGTATACCTTATAACGAGATTTTTTAATGATCCGTGACCGACGATAACGGCCCCGAGCGGGAGAAAGTGATGCTCGCGGAATTCCCAATGATTCCCGCGAAAGCCAGCCTACCCCGTTGTGTGTTACGCAACGCATGCAATTTCCGTTCTATCCGATCGCGAGGGAGCGGCGGCCCCGTTCTGCGGAACTCCTAGCCTCTCATGCGGTTCTAGTTACCTAGGTTGCGTTTCACCCTTCGTTACCCTCGTCCTTTCCAGCTCATAGAGCCGCAGACGATCACAGGACACCGAGGCGGCGACACTCGATCTGTCGCGCGTTTTAGTATTCCCTCGGTGGATTCAACTTTGATATTCTATAAGTGTCTCAATCCACCCTAAAGATATTGGATTCTGTACACTTGTTCGATGTTGGGGGCAATTAACCGAGAGAGCCGACGGGGATTAAGTGTCTCCGCAGGGCTGCGCACTGGAAGCTTGCTTATAGTCGCGCTCGCAGCTGATTCAATGAAGGCACAGTGAAATCTTCGTAATTGCAACCTGCTGAACTTCTAACTAATGAATTCGATATGATAATGAAGAAGACGTACAGCTAGCGGTACTACAAATACCGTTGACACTGCGCATTAAGTCCTCAGACCGCGCGTCCACCACGGTTCGAATCATTATATCTCGAAACCTAAATTGTCCTCATTTGTCGGGGCGAAATTGCGAGCGCGAAGGCGCGCAGCGAATGAATCAAAACGAAAAAAGAGAGAGGAGGAGGAGGAGAGAGA